TTAAATTAATCTAAATCCGTGTTTACCTCCAATCACTCTTCCATTCAACCACACTGTTCCTGCCACACTAGCTTCTGCAGCTCCTCAGTTACACCAAGGAATACTCTTTCCCCAGACACTCAAGGAAGCTACTCAGTCAATAAACGCCAGCATGGCTCTAGCGGTCTAGAGTTGACATCTGTTCCCACAGGCCAGTAATCACACTGTGCTGTTAAAGGTTTTTACTATTACTCCTGCATATAACCATACAGAAAAGCCCTTGGTTTGGTTCTCATTTCTCTTCAAAATTCATTAGGAGCCTTACTTGGATCACATATTTTAAAAAAGTAGCTGCTCCTATGTACATACACATACACACACACATATGCACATATACACACTACCTAACCCTTGACCTTACCCCATACACTCAGATCATTATCTTCTTGACAGGCTTCATTTTCGTAGCATTTATTGCACTCTGACATAATATAGATCACTGCCCAGCAGAGACTGTGTGTTAAGTAAGTATTTCCTAAATGAATAAATGCTGAATTACATATATTTTCCAGTCTTCTCTTTATTAACATTTTAAATTATTTTAATAATTTAATTACATAATTAAGGAACACGGGTATAGAGCTAAGGAAAAAGAAGTCTCTTAATTCCATAAAATGTTAAACTGAAAAAGACTTCAATACATCAAAAACTGTAATACAAGCCTCCATAAGCGGAATATCATTAAACAGTAATACTGGATGAAGCAACCAAGTTACTTAATTAGTTATGTAAAATAAACAGTCTTTAAGTGATCTGAAACTGACAGCATGAAGAGAAAGACATAGTTAAGAGTACAACTTTCTCTTGTATGAAGTGTTCTTTGTTGGCATGTGTCCAACATGAAAGTTGTCTCAGACCGGTCTGTTGCAGAAAGACTTACTCTCTGCAAAAATCTGCCTCTACTGTTCTGCTGTCCCGCACCAAATTCTGATGAAAAGCCGTAAGTACACGATTTAAGCTGGCAGGCAAATCATTTGTCTAAAGTTCAACTTAATGGCTCATTGCCTAACTCACCTGAATTTATTCATGAACTTTAATTCCCATTCTGAAAGAAATTTCTTTTTAAAAAATAGCTAAATCTGAAGAAATATCAAACTTAACAAGGCAAATAAACTTTCAAGTCACCATTTAAATGTTAAAGTTGAACTAGGTGTCTTTCTTAACTAAATTTTACCAAGCCCTATATTTTACCTCAAATCCTAGTTCTGGCACCTAATATTACTGTTTATTGACTTTCTTTCATAAAGACTCATGGTACATTTTTTTATAAGTTACAGTCTTTTTCAGCTTAACATTTTATGGAATCAAAGATATTTCCTTTTCCTTTAACCGACACCCTTGTTTATTCTAGTCTCTGAAGTCTAGGATCTACAGTGCACAGAAACAGTAGATAAGAACAGAGACTCCCATCTCAGCTCTGCATCTTACCTATTGTGTTTCTTGTGAAAATTATTTATGATTTTAAGCTTTAGCTCCTCATTCATAACAAATATGAGGTTAAAAACAACACTAATCTTGTATGGGGTAATTATAATACTCCATAATAATATGAAATAATGCATATAAAAACTCAGTAAGTAGCTGGTTTCTGGCAATCACTCAATGAATTCAATGTTTCAAACATTTCCTGAATGCCCACTAAGGGCGAGCACTGTTCTAGGCGCTGGCACTATAGCTCCACTAATTGTTAAATTAAAATTCTAATTCTGGCCCTTATGGAATTTACATTCCACTTGAGGAAGACAGATAAGTAAAAATACATCATATGAGATAATTTCAAGTAAACACAACTGTAGCAAAGAGATAGTAAGAGAAGAGGGGAATATAAGGGAGTAAGAGGTTATTTCACGCAAGGTAGTCAGAAAAGGCCTCTGTGATGAAGTGACATTGGCACAGAAACTGACTCAGCAAAGAAGAGGCTCTGTGCATATCCCGTGTGCTTGCTAACATAGGGAGGGTGTTGGATGGTTGATAACCCTTGTTGACAACAATGCCTTGCACCTTCCAAACCTTTTCACAGGCTCTGGGAAGCAGCGCAGGAGAATTAGCCTGTGGAGGGTGAGGGAGGGATGGCTTGGACACCCGCAAGCTTTATTATCATGAGAAAGTTAAATAAATCCTAATTCTAGATTGTCTAGTTTTCTGTACATCTGAAGACAGGAAAGAGAATCCTTTGGCTACTGTGTCCTCTAGTTAGGCATTATGATGATATACTTGTATTTTCATGGGTAAGAAAGAAATAAATAGGAAGTGAGCAGTAAGTTGCTAGAAACAGAAATTATATTGGAACCAAAATAGCATTCTTTATGTAGGCTAAAAATGAAGTCTGGCAAGATGGAAATGAGATATTTTACAGCATATTATGTGGTCAAAGACATTAACTTCTTATACAAATTAAATCAAGAAATAGATTCCTGTTATAAGAGTATAAATAATTTCTTAAAGGAAGATATATAACAGGTAATACCACCATAATAAAATCCGTATCAATTTGTTCTTCACTCATAATTGAAAATTGTCTAACTTCTACAACCTCTGCTTTGTGATTTTCTTTTAAAAGCATAATATGATTCATTAAATAACATGCATAACAATATTTACAACAAACAGATAATGATCTGCCTATTTCAAATACCAGTACTTTACATCAGGTTAATAGTCAGCTAGATAAACTTCAAATTTCTACCTCATAAAACAATCATACATAGCTCCTTAATCTTCTACAGCTTTCAGTCTACAGTTATTTTCATAGCTAGTGCTATATAAAATGATGAGATAATCAGCTCCACAGCCAGCATTAGGGGTTTGGGAGAAAGAGAATAATTGACCATTTAACAGTCCACAGAATCTATTCCATTTATCTAGACTCATTTCATGGAAAACTTTATACAGAGAAGGATATAGCTTTATTTGAAATTATATATTCTTATTCAAGCCCAGATATGCATTTTTATGTGCCTCTTTTATGACTTTGGTCTCTCAATTTAGACCTGGTTCAGCAAGTAGAAAATGCAAATATTTGGTTGGCTGTAAAAAGGGATATCAATATCTCTGAAAACCCAGTTGCATATCTTTTTGACCTAACATGGGTAAAAAGTATCTTCACTGCACTGAACTTTATTTCATGCTGCAATTATACTGGAATTCAAGTTCATACTTTTACATGTACAGGGAAGGATACAAAACTCCTGTCACAATGATAGAGGGAAGGCAGTGGTAGAGAGGTTGAAGACAACCCCTACATTTATGGTTTGAGCATCTAAGTATTTGATGGTAAAGGTTCCCCCCATTATTCAAAAGTTTGCTTTATGCTCCTCTGCTCTTATGAAAGACTTAGTACCTGTTTTAGCTAACAAAAGACATTCAAAGAGGATTTTCACTTTTGTGAAATGGTAATTGCTTCTTTGCTTTAAGTCATTTTGGCTTATAAAAGGTTTCATAGGAACCTCTACTTTTGAATAGTGGGGAAAACTGGTGCCATTTATTTAAAAAGGAAGAACAAATTTTGGAGTTAAAGGTGATAAACTCAGTTTTATGTAAAGAGTAGAAAAAATTTCATGTCTTTTGGGAAAGACATAAATGTAAACTAGAAATATAAATTTGTAAACCTCTGGTATAGAAATAGTAAATGAAACTGCATGAATAGATCACCGTAATCAAAGAAAAGAACTAGAATTCCGTAGAACAACAGCAGTTATTCATTGATGGAAGAGGAAACATTGACTGTTTTTCTAGAGACTGTTTTTCTAGAGAAAAATATGACAACCTGTTCCAAACTAAGGAAATTTTTTATAGGATTTTATGAAATTAAAATGGGGGAAATAGTAAATGGAAAAATATAAATGAAGAATAAGCCAATCTTATAATTCTAGAAAATTGGGCAAGGAGGCCAATTTCTTAGCTACAGAATTGGTGTTTAGCAACTGTCAAAATCTTCTGTGAAAGCAATGTTAAGGCTCAGCACCTTGGGAATGACTGAATAATATAATGTGAGTATAAATATAGACATTGTGTTCCTGATTAACAAAGTACAGTCTAACAGTTGTTTTTTTTTTTTTTTTTTAATTTCTTTAGTGGAATCTGGATTACACATTAGCATTCTTAGGAATAACACTTCCTTCATATTAAAAGTCATCCCTAGATATACAAAAATTGAATTGACAGACATTTACCTACAAGATTTTCTGGCTGTTCATGGCTAAACTGTTCTTCATAGAAGATGGCCTCAAAGACAAGGACTCTTAACCACCCCAGTCTAAAGTACTCAGAAGCCAAGCCAGCTCCATTGCTCTATTCTGGGCCCAGTCCCACAGGCTTTATCTTAAAACACAAGCCATGTTCATGCCCATTCTTTACCTCATGAATCTCCTAAATGAAAGCAATGTGTTCTGTGCTAGATTTCAGAGGTAAAAATTACCTAGAACAATCTCTCACCTAGGTAGCTACCTGTTGGCTCTATGTAAGAAATTTATGATTTACTGTATTTGAGAAAAGTAGTGTAGTTTTTAAAACTTCTAATGTCTTATAATATATTATAAACTTAATATCCAAAATTAAAATTCTAATTTACTCATAATTGCTGGACATAGTCTTTGATGTCTACATCTTAAGATCTTGTATAAACTGAACTCAAAATCTGAACCTTATAAAGTAAAAAGAGTCTTAAGTCTTTTTTTTTTTTTTTCAAAGTCTTAAGTCTTTTAAGGAAAACTGGGAATGAAAAAAAAAAAAAAAGAATAGGCCATTTGTAACCCAGCAAACACTGAATAAAAAAGGCAACCCATCTTAATAAAACCAAGGAAGTGCTATGTTTCAACATTAGTACCAGTGGTCATCACAAAGCCCTTTCGTTTCCAAATTTTTATAAATAATCTAAGAACTTTATTTGTTGTGGTAAATGTTAACTCACATTTAGAAAAGAATATGTGTGTGTGGTTGTGTGTATACATAAATGCACTTACCTTAGGAATAGGATTCAGCAGAACTACACCTGATTTCTTAGTGATGACCTGTTTTGTTGTATAGTGATGATCTATAAGCTGAGGGATGTTTGAAAAACCAGTGCCTTCAAATCGATATAGATTCTGGAGGAAGAATAAAGTAGAGTAAATATAAAGATATTGCTTCAGCAAGACTACGTTCAACAATAAATTTTCACTAAGAAAAACTATTGTATGAATGTACATAATACTACTGAATGGATAAGATGGCAAAAATAAAAATAAATAGATAAAACTTCGACATGCTAAAAAATTTTAACTTTCCATAAAGAAGCTAATTTTTATAATGACTAAACATAATTCAAACTATCAAAAAAAGAAAGAACGGAAGGAAGAAAATGACCTTGAATGCATTTTGCTAAATGATAATCACAGGAAATAAAGCATGAGAAACACTTGACTTAATAAACAAGACATGCATTTACATAGTGTTTACACATATGTCCCATCTGATAAAACTTCCAAGATTAAAAAATAATGTCAAAAGTTTGAGGCTATTATATTACATTCAATATAATAATAAATTATTTGAAGAACACCTCAGATGATCACTATTTCCTACTTATCAGTATAGTAGTAATTGGTATTTCTCTTATGGGGTTATTCATGTTTTACTCTTTCACCAAAAGCATCTAGTCCTTTACACATTATTGACAAAGAAATAAAATGCACAGTGACAAAACTGCAATTATCGGCATGCTCAAATCTTGCACTTTGTGGTTTTATAAGATTAGATAAGTAACATTTTCTCAAACTCTGCCACAACCCCTTTACTCTGTCTTCATATTTCAAATAGGCATGCAGGTCAGTTATCACATGAATAAACTGATGGCAATAAATTTAACAAATAAAAAAATATCTTACTGGCCGTACTTTTCAATGCAGGAAGCACTGGAATGCAATGTGATATAATAAATACTTCTATTGGATTGTTCACAAAATGTTTGCCCATACATGTGCAGATACCAACATGAATGTGCTCTAAGAAAATTCTATGTTAATAAATAAGAACATTGAAAATTACCTAAATTTGGATATTATTTATATTACTGGAAGATTATTTTCATAGTTAAAAGATAAAAAAATTAAAGCTCCTTTTCAAGTATAAAATAAGATTCAATTTACCAGAATTCAAGTTATAGAACACTTTTATGTGGATATTTGTTTTATCAAGTGAGGGTCAAACAAGGAGTTAGCTAATCACAGAATATAATTCAACTCAATGGAGTTTGTTTAAGAGTCAATTCAGGGCATATTGTTAATAAATTGCCTAAAGAATTTTTGTATATTGCAGCCAGATCTACTGTGACAAATTAACAATGATACTTAAGAATATTTCATACTGAAGATGCTAATCTGTTATTAAGCATGCAATGCGCTGAGCAAATTCTCTCAGTGTCTCAGTTTACTCACTGGTGAAACAAATATTTGGATCCTGTCAAAAAGTAAGTATGAGGCTTGACCAAGTATCAACAAGCAAACCCCGGTGCCCAGTATATGGCACATGGTACACACTCAATTATTAAATCACTAAAGCAACAATAATCCCTGGGTTACAAAAATAATTCTACACCCAGATACAGGAAAAGAAACATTTTCAAAGGCTATTTTAAATCACATTTTCTTAAGGAAATTATCTGTAAATAATCAGATATCCTGAAAGGCATTCTTAGATTAAATTGATTAAGAAATAAAGAAATGTAGAAGGTTATAAAAGTGTAACATACAACTACAATACTAACAATGGTAATATATCAACCAAATATATAGCATTATATCCTTGGAAGTCACTGAGAATAAATCTTAAGCATTCTCACCATGCACAAAAGAAAGTATTTAACTTTAACTGTGAAGTGTTAATTATTTTGATCCTAGAAATCATTTTACAAGGAATATCAAACCATCAGGTTGTACATTTCAAATATATACAATTCTATTAGTCAATACTTCCTGATAATGTATTCCTCCATAAAGTTAAAAATCTATATACTGTTTCTCCTTTTGTCTGATTCCTTCAGTCCACTCTTAACATAGCATCAGGAGTTTCTGTTACAGTAGATCATTGCCATTACTTTGCTATAATCTTATCTCCCTCAGAATAAAAGCCAAAGTCTTTGCCATGGTCTGTAAGACTCTACATAATCTGTTTTCTGTCATCTCTCTTACCACTACACACACCCTCCCAATACTTCCCACCAGCCACGCTCATTTCCTTCTTGTAAAGCACACCATATATACTCCTTAGGGAGTTGACATTTGCTGCTTGAATAGTTCCTCAGATGGCCATATGGATAATGGCTCCCTTACTTGCTCCAGTCTTTCAGCATAAGTCACCTTTTCAGTGAGGTCTTCTCTGGCCACCCTATATGATATTCAATTCCCCATTTCCTCACCCCAACTAAATTTCTTATCTTCTTTTCCTTATTGAATTTTTCTCCTCAGAACTTATCACCATCTAATATCATGTATATTTTATTTTTCTTATTTATTGTCTATCTCCTTCTCTAGAAGGTAAGCTCATGTGGTGATAAATTTTTACATTCGTTTTGTTCATCACTGTATCATCATAGTCTAGAACACTGCCTGGCATGTATTGCCTGGATAAATAAACATGTATGAATAAATGAAATATTATGCATATAAAATGAGTGGGAAGCTAAAGAGACAAATAAGACAATTTGGAAATGAATACTGAAAACACACACTCAAGCAAACTCAACACACTGGAGTACAAGGTTTAACAAAAAGTAGGTAACGTGACAAAATTTACACAGAATCAAATTTCAAATCAGCCACCAATGTCTTACATAAAATTATAACACACCTCTATAACTACAGAAACAGTGAATGGAATAATGGGAATTTTCATTTAAGAACATATCTAACTTAAGTTAAATACAGTTTTCTGCCACTGACGTAGTAATCATTATGGACAAAGACAGTGAGTGATACAAGCAGCAGTACTTACTTCATAGGATGAAATAAGAAACTGATTTCTAGCAATTATCCTTTTAAAGCAATCAGTTCGACATCAGTGAAGTTCTGGAGTCCTAACTGTGCAAAACCAGTTAACTCACTTTCTTAATGATGAAGATAAAGTAATGAATCTAAAAACAACATGAAGATGACAAATGCTTACAAAGTTCAGCTAAGCCTTGAGATAAGGTCAAGAGCAGCACATTCACAAAAACTGTTGAGGACTTGTTTCTTGATACTCTCAAAATCCCAAATATTATAATTTGACCTTGTTATAAATCTGTATAAATTTTTGTAGCTCAGATGACATGAGGTTTGGTTCACATACAAATGGATTCTTTCTTAAGTTTTCTACAGTTTCGACAATAATAAAACAGAGAGAATCCAGACTGATCTTTAAATCAGACACTTTTCTTTGGACTAAGGTTGCTACTAATATGACCACTTAAGTAAATTCCAACAGAAGCAACAAAAAATAGTAATACAGAATAAATTTTTGCAAATTTCTACAAAGATCATTTTGTTGTCATTTGTATTACATGACTAAGTATCTTGTAATGTCATTAAAAATAAAAAGTATGAATAAAAATATGATATAATACAAATTTTGTATAATATGAATTATATAGTTACATATAATTAGAATGTATCAAAAAAGCCTCAAAGAATATATACTGAACCCAGAAGGTGGTGTTATGAAAACATTTGCTCCATCTAGAATTTGTTTCTGAGTTATCACGGTGCTACTTAAGAATTAATCATGGGGGCGCCTGGGTGGCTCAGTGGGTTAAAGCCTCTGCCTTCGGCTCTGGTCATGATCCCAGGGTCCTGGGATCAAGCCCCGCATTGGGCTCTCTGCTCCGTAGGGAGTGTGCCTTCCCCTCTCTCTCTGCCTTCCTCTCTGCCTACTTGTGATCTCTGTCAAATAAATAAATAAAATCTTTAAAAAAAAAAAGAATTAATCATGCATATGGATGAAAAGCATAAAAAACAGAATCTGATTTTGTTGCTATACATACTTGCAGAGTACTGTTATACTAAGAAGTCAGACGGGACAGAATACACACAAAAATGAGGAGGGGATTCAATGAATGTATAATCTGAAATGATATGCCTGAATAGATCCCCTGAAAAAGAACTGAAAACAAGCAGGCTTAAGGAAAAGCAAGCAAGTAAGCAAGCAAGCAAGCAAGCAAGATGATTTCTGAAAGAGGCAGCTGAGATGAATAAGCTAAATAAAAAACAAAAGGCTAAATAAAACATTCCTTTTTTGGTAAAATACCTAAAAATGAAAATACAAAACATAAGCGCTAGCTTTCTCAAATAAAAACGACACATGGAATACTTATAAGTAACGCCTTAAACCGGTACACAGGATGGATTGCTGGAGAGTTTGGGAAAATAGCATTAATAAGGTTTCTGTATGTCTTTTCCTAGTTACTTTTATTCATTCTTCAGATGTTGTCTCAAACTTAACTTCTTTAAGTTTCCCAGTTAAAAGCTTTTATAGCAATGTCTATCTACAGCTTTATAATTATTACTTTACAGTTTATAATTATATATAACATGTGTGATTTATGAGGGACTGTGAGCCTCTCTCCTAGACTGTAAGTTCCACAATTATATCCCTGGGCCTGAAAAGTACTCACTCAATCAGTATTTCCTGGAAGTTAATATTAATGAGGTTTTGGAAAGGCTTTGTTTAATTGCTAAGAAGAAAGTCTCCTAAGTCTTTAATCATGTGTCAGGGACACAGAAAATGATATATTATGACAGTTTATTTTGACTTCAAGTTACTTATTGCCTTCTCTTGGATCCTTGAAGGATATGAGTAGAGTGATTAAAATAACTCTAAATATACAACAGTAAGGCACAAACTTGCAAACAACTGTCACTCAAACAAGTTTAGGGTTTACTCGCTTTCACTTAAGTGAGAAGTCTTCTTTAAGGCTCATGGCATGAATTTAAAAATACATGTAGTTCAAAGAGCCTAGAGATTGTGACAACAGAACAAAGTAAACCAGTCTGGTACATGCAGAGACTAAATCTACCAGCTCGAAGTGGAACTTAGCACATAACAGATATCCAATAAATACCTGGTGAATGAATCAGGGATTTAATACATTAAGCTACCCATTTTTATACAATAATTAAAACATCCACTTTGGAATTATTTTTGTTTTATTGACTCATACCCCTGGGCCCTACACATTACTCACTCAATTAGTATTTCCTTTATAAATGGTTAAAGAAATAAAAGATGATGATATGCCATTACATAGAGGATTTTTGTTATATTTTAAAATATTTATATTATATTGTTATTTTTAATTCATCACATGTTATTTCAAATTTTTTGGTTCCATCATCCCTAATTCTGCGTCTTTAATATTTCCCTGTTAACGAATTCCATCAATGTCTTACCTACTAGGTTTTAAGTTCACTGAGAAGTAGGCCATACATTTTTCAGTTTTATCTCCTTACACTGAATAACATGGTTCTTTGCAAAAAAATGTTTTTTTAGCAAATGCCTGTTATGTAAATAAATTAGAGAAATATAACTGGGTACTTTCCCATGAATAATAAGATCTTTCTGGAGCACTTTTGTTTTACTATATGTATTTTTCTTTTATCATACGCAAAAATAAGGATTTGCATCTATATTTACTTATCAAATGGAACAATGCTATTTGAATCTTTATGAAAATCTGTCAACATTTATGACACAAAATAAACAGTTTTAGGAACAAATCCTAGCTATGTTTAGGTACAAACTGTTGTATCAAATACCCTAACCAGGCTGTTAACTATGGAACAGGTCGGTGACTAACGCTAGAATTACACTGAGACTCAGATGCTCCTAGATATGCTTAACATTATCTGGCTTTATAAAATTAATATATTTAGTGTCTGATTAAAAAGTACAACCCTTCTTGCTTGAAGAGCTAAGACAAAAGATATTCTTTGCTAGAATAGTGAAATGTAAAAATTGCAAGTATCTGTGTCCATCTTGATCATTCATAATGTTCATATAATGCTCACAGCATGCAGAGTTTCACCACATGTTAAAAAGTAACTGTGTGACACATTAAAAAAATCCAGCTTCAATATAACTGCCATCCTACGCTGCAGGTGACAGAGACATTGTTGCTAAAAATCCCATTATCTGTGATTGATGAATATCTCAAACTTAAAAATATAAATTCTAAAAACAACACTTTCATTATTATTTAAATTTCACAAACAAATCACATGGAAACCAAAAAGACATTTTTAAAGTAACTTTTCCAATTACACAAATATTTTTTAGAAAATACATTTGTATTTTTTCTCAGATAAAGTCATCAAACAATGGTAAGAGTGCCTAACATCTGCATAGCACCTTATATACCTTACAAAATACATATTTAGTGATTTGATTCCCACAATCATGATATAGGCTGTTAACCCCATTACTTTCCAAACCATGGACCTTCTAGAGAGCAAAATTGGGATGGAATCCCAAGTCTTATGATAACAAGTTCAATGCATTTTTCATGTTATTTGGTATTTTTCTCATTTTCTAAAATCTCACCTTTATGTCTTCCTCTCTTAGGACACCCATCCCATCATTTATGTACAGCCTTTATAATCTACTATTAGGTTATAAACTCCTTGATGGACTATAATAGGCAATTATTGAATATCTGATAATGAATTTCCTGATTTATTGGGCTCTTCCAGGCAACACATATATGAGGAAGGAAATGGGATAATTTTAACTCATAGAAGATTTACCCACACAAAATGAAAAAGAATTAAAAACTCTCCAAAAAGTCTAGATCATCTCAAAACTCCTATTTTCAACTGACTGAAGAGCACAACATTATATAATAAGAATTAACTAAATAAAATTAGGCAGTGGAAAATCTGAGGCCTTCACAGATATACAAGAACTCTCATCTTTAATAGAGATCTCTGCAAAATTTCAATGACCGAAAGAAGCTAAATAAAATCTTCAAATGTTAATGGGCAACAATTTCTTATTTTCAGAATATATCATACTATTCATTTTAGTCACTTACAAAATGAAAATATTAAAGACAAGTGTTAATTTGCAAGTAGACCCCTTCCTTTTGGTTTCTAAGAATAGTAATTTAAATTCCTAAGTTACATTTTATTTATTTATTTATTTATTTATTTATTTATTTTTACTTTACAGTTACATTTTAAACTATATGTGGTAACAAGGGAAATATTTCATTCTTGTTTAATGTATGACATATTTTTAAAATAGTGACTTTTAGAGCTTAGAAAATAGATGGAGACACTCACATAAATTTTAGGTTATACTTTACCTATAACTTTTCCTTCTACAATTTGCATACTGTTTTATAAATATTGCCAGCATGGTCACAGGTTGGAATAGGGAAGCTTATCTACATCCATAACTTACAGGCACATACAAATTATAAAAGAGTTTGCCAAGGAAATGAGGAAGGACACATTACTAGAAACAGTAGGTTGGATGTACGGATGTAGGAAAATATGATTTTGAAGTTGAGGTCTGAATGCTACACAAAATTAACAATGCTATGAAAATTATAAACCTTGATGGATTTATTCCTTTTAACCCATTTTAATGGCATCTATTTTCATTTAAATATAATTTCTAGATGTGAATATATGAAATGCCACTGTATACTGTAATGGTCACTTTCATGGTATGTGAATTTCACCTCAGAATTACAGATACATACTTTGATATATATATACACACAGAGAGAGAAAGACATGTAGATACATATCTACCTAAAACCCTTGGACCTTTATCTAGCAATAATGGTTCACTCTGTTTGTAAGATAATTAGTAGCATTCCAGTTCCTGGACATAAACTGATATCTTAGATAGCCAGCTTAAAAATGCATGCTATTTGAAATGCTGGAGTGAAAAATGACAGAGGGCTTCATACGCCAAAAATATCAAAAATTTCTCAGTGGGTAAAGTTAAACAAAACTTCGAGATTACTTTTCATCTGTTCAATGCTTAATCAAAAGTAAGACAAACATAAGTAGTTTAGCAGTACTTAATAAACTTCAATAAATAATCAGAAGCAGCAATGTGAACAAATCACTTTAAAAATTTTTCACCAATTTCTATTTATTGTTTATTAATGCCAGTAAGGAACAGCTTACTCATAAAGGTGAAAAAGGAGCCTTAAACCTAAATTAATAATAAAGCTAATTCAACTATCATTGTCCCATTTATTAGGGAATTTCATTATCCCTATTTAATTACAAATATCTTAAAAATCTTTCATGATATATATTTTTTTAAAGATTTTATTTTATTTGAGAGAGAGAGTGAGCAGGAGAGAGCACAAACTGGGGGAGGGGTAGAGGAAGAGGGAGGAGCAAGCTCTCCACTGAGAAGGGAGCTGGATGCAGGACTCTGTCCCAGAATCCTGGGATCATGACCTGAGCTGAAGGCAGATGCTTAACTGACTGAGCCACCCAGGTGCCCCTGTCACGGTACAATTTTTAAAGCAATTTCAAGGCCTAGTTTCAGGAGCATAAAATTTATTATTAAATTTATCCATGAAAAAAAGGAAAAATTATAATAATATTTTTAATTTTTAATTTAAAATAACTTTAATATTCATGTTCAACCTAAAATATTTTAAATGTTTAGCTTAAAATATTTTAAATGTCTATAGCACCTGGGTGGCTGTCGGTTAAGCTTCTGACTCTTGATTTCAGCTCAGTCATGATCTCATGGTTGTGAGATCGAGCCCTGCATTGGACTCTGCGCTTCTCTTGGAGTCAGCTTGAGATTCTCTCTCTCCCTCTCCCTCTGCCTCTCCCTGCACTTGTGCTCTCTAAATAAATAAATAAAATCTTTAAAAATGTGTATTTTTTAAATGTTTGTGCATTTGAGTTTAATTTAAATTTATAACAACTATTTGTAATTTAGAATAACTTAAAATATATATGTCCTTAATAAGATGAACATTTTAGTGAATTTTTGCACACTGTATTGAAGGAATTCAGAAAAAAGTAAAATTAAGTACTAAGCATAAAATGTTACGGGCACTTATCATAAACTATTCATCATTTTATTATAATTATAGCATAATGAACTGCATAAGAATATACATATAAACTAAATTGAAAACGTACATCAACAAATTGTATGATAAAGTGTCTCCTTTGTCCATCAGAATATACAGAAAGGACATATTCACCAGGTTTCCCATGACTCTCTCGCACCAAGAAGTCTCCTTGTTGTTTTAATAGATCTTGTGCTTCTATTCTGGGAATTGCTCCATGGTACCAGTCCTGTTCTGCCAGGGGCTTCTCACTTATAGGGATCGTATCAGAGAACTTGTATAAACATTAAGAAAAAAAATAATAATAATAAATTAGAGAAAATAGGAATTCTTCCTGGTAAAATTCATAGCAATTGTAAATACTTCTTACATACATTCTTCTTTTTAATCAATCAATTAAAAGCTTCATGATGAATCTGAATTTTTCATAATTTTTAAAGAAAATATCTCTTGGAGCACCAGTGTTGAAGTTCAGCTCAAATACATATCCTTCAATACTTTGTTTATTCTGTCTATAGATGTTCTATCTATAGATACTCTATCTATAGATCTATAGATGCATACAATATTAGCCTTTAGTGTTGGAGTTTATAGTCTTATTCACCATAATATAAAAGAAATCCATATATTTAAAATTTACCAGAGAATTACAATAAAAGGGTGCATTATCAGAGAAATTTGTCACAAAGCAATTTCATTTTTATTTAAATTAAGTCAGTTATTTTTATGGAATAAACTTTCAACAAGACAGGCTGTAAACTGCCCATGTCCTATGTTCCAGAAGCAATAATCTAAGGCTTCATTTGAAGCTGCCTTGCTGCCATGCCTTCCCATTCTTACCGTCATTCCCCTGACTGGCTTAGCCATTACCACTGCCACATGGCTGGTCCTGATCCTGTATAGTAGTGGCCAATAAAGCCTTAGGAGAAATAGCATCACCTGAAATCACCACCACCAAAATTATAAACACGTGGCAAAAACAAGAGAGGACAATAAGCCACGACCACGGCAGGAAAAACAGATTATCTGTTACTTTATGAGACCACATGCTAAAATCAAAAAACAGATAACTAAGGAGCAAGTCTATGTCCTTGAAATGTTTCTAACTGATAATAAATGGAAACACATTTTCTAGTTACAAGTAAAAAGTTTGTTTTTATCATTCAAAGAACTAAATTGCCCCAGATGGTTAAGAGTACTGTGTGGGTAAGGAACAGTAGTAATATGCACTAACTCTTAAGATACTTAGAATACAATATGCACAATGTCTCATGGGCAAGTAATTTACAAATTGGAGAAATTATAATTAATAATAAATGAAAGGCAAATATTCACATATACAGTTTCTCAGGCTGATGTTATGAATTCTACGTAGAGACAAAGTATGACATCTTCGCGGTAAATGAAAACTAGTTGTGAAAATAGCCTTTATTGTTTTGTACCACTGAAGAGGTCCAAACCTTTTAGGTCAAAGTTCCATTTTACATTATCCAAAACCCAACCTACTGATTTAAAAAAACAACCTTGAAAAATCCCAAATGGACATCAAAGAAGAGCTCACACTTTTGTTTCTACTTCTTCTACTTATTATATACTTAATTTCTTTAATATATACATGGTGTGACTTACACAGAAGCTTTTCGTAAGCTAAATAAGGCTTTTCCTTTAGTACTAATTATGATAAATATAATATTCATAAAAAATTTTAATCAGTGTTTTCAAAAATGGATTTAAAAACAAATTATATAGGGAACAAGCCACAAGTATGAGGTAAAAACAAAATGCATAATCAACACAAAATTAAATTTTGTGTATACTAATAGTTTATAATTTTTTAAAATATGTAGTCAAAATTATTAAATGAATCTTTTCCAAAATTTTATCACACTGTATCTCACTATAACAAACACCAAATTTTTTACTAACAAAAATATTTCCATATTTATAACAAAAACATTTCCAAGTGTTGCCAATGGTGAAAGTGTTTTGATTTTTTTCCTAAGAAAAAAATCAATAAATTAAGAAATTCAATGTCACCTCCTTGCAAAGAATTTGTTTTCATCATTATCTTTCAAGAACGTCTACATATTAGAAAGGTATCACAAACAAGGATGTCAATGTGCTTGATTTCTTGTCCTATTCAACCTATCCTCCCAAATGTTGATTTATTTAGAACAGTAAAATGCAGAGCCTGGAGAAGTCATTAAGTAAGAAGGGCATCTGAAGTACAAAAGCTCAGCTAACACTGAGAAATTCATTTAAGGATTTGAATGTGAAGAATCTATTGGGGGGGTAAATCATCTTGAAAGAACATCTACATTTGTTTATTTGCTTTAAAAAATAAGTGAATGGGAAGGAAATTACACTACTATATCACAGGGATTACATACCAGTCCTTCGGATTTATTAGTTTCTTTGAAATAGAGATCTAATACCAATACAAAGTGTAAGCTGGGGGTACCTGGGTGGCTCAGTCCGTTAAGCTTCTGATTCTCGATTTAGACTCAGGTCATGATCTCAGGGTTGTGAGATGGAGCTGTGTTGGGCTCTGCACTCAGTGCAAGTCAGCTTGTCTCTCTCCCTCTGTTCCTCACTCCCCCCACCACTCCATACCCCCTGCGCCGAGCCCCTCCCCCATCATGTGTGCACACCCTTTCTGTCAAATAATGATCTTTAAGAAAAAATAGTGTCAGCTGAACAGTTTGTGAGTGTATGCCTGCGTACATGCATCTGTATACACATACACAGGGAAATGTCCTATATATGCCCAGTCTGGGTCTATCAGGTTTTATAGGAACTTCTCTGCAAGCAATGAAAGGAACATTTTTATTAACATGATTTCAATTAAATTCCAACAAAATTCTGCAAGCTTGTTAGTAATGGAATGTAGAATGCATCAGCAACAAAATCCAACATCCCAAGAGCTGTCATAATTACATCAAAAAGGAAATGAAGCTTTTAACTTCAAATATCGTATCTTTCTCTTTTTTTCTTCTTTTTAAATTGTGTTATGTTAGTCACCATAGTAAGCATTAGTTTTTGAAGTAGTGTTCTATGAAATATTACATCTTTCTAATCCTGAGTAGGATAAGATTTTTCCTTGTCAGTAAGTCATCTAAGATTTTTGCCCAAGATATGGGGGGAGGGGTTCTTTTTTTGAAGTCAATAGTTAATCTAACATAGTTAATTAGTTATACTGAATCAGGCAAGTTTTCCTGATTGACTGGGCTAGGTGTTTAGTTATTTTTCCTGGACCTTATTCCTAAAGAACATTCCAGCAAAGACATATTGGGTTTGGGGCGCCTGGGTGGCTCAGTCATTAAGCATCTGCCCTCGACTTGGGTCATAATCCCAGGGTCCTGGGATCGACACCTGCAATGGGCTTCCTGCTCAGCGAGAAGCCTGCTTCTCCTGCCCTCTGCTTCTCCCTCCCTGTTTGTGTTCCCTCTCTCGCTGCATCTCTCTTTGTCAAATAAATAGATAAAATCTTTAAACAAAACAAAACATGTTGGGCTTAGTGAAATAAAAATATTTGTTTAAGTGAAGAGGCAAAGAGTCGTCAGTACTAGAAATGGAAATATTTTTGGCAGGGGTAGAATAAGGGCCTATTTTTTTCTTGTCCTATTCAGCCTAATTTCCAAGTATGTCATGAAAATCTGTATGCCTTTACTTATTTCTTTAAATATATTATTTATTTATTTATTTGAGAAAGAGAGAGAGCACACTCAAGCAGGGGGAGAGGGAGAGAGAGAATCTCAAGCAGATTCTCTGATGAGAAGGGAACCCAAAGTGGGGTTCCCTCTAACAACCCTGAGATCATGACCAGAGCCAAAACCAAGAATCGAAGCTTAACCCACTGAGCCACCCAGGTGGCCCAATTTGTATGCCTTTATCGCAAATATTTCAGTGCAAGAAGGGCCTTTTTGTTGAGAGGCAAAAAAAAAAAAAAAAAAAAAAAAGTTAAAAAAAAAAAAAAGCAGGGGCAACTAGCTGTCTCAATTGGTATAGCCTGAGACTCTTGATCTCAGGGTTGTAGATTCGAGTCCCACACCAGGTATAGAGATTACTTTAAAAAATAAAATCTTGGGGCACCTAGGCAGCTCAGTAGGTCAAGCATCCAACTCTTGATCTTGACTCAGGTCATAATCTCAGGGTCAGGGATTGAGACCCCCATATTGGGCTGTGTGCTCGGCATGAAGTCTGCTTGAAATTCTCTTTCCCTCTCTCTCCCCTCCCCCCACTCATGCACACACTCTCCCTAAAATAAGTGAATAAATAAATAAATAAAATCTTTTAAAAAAATAATAAACTAAAATCTTCAAAAAAAAAAAAAATCAAACTCTGGATTCTATTAAAATCAGGCACCCAAATAAGAAGTGATTAAACAAAAGAGAAGAAAATAAAACAGCATGGAAAACATATAAGTAAACCTCTCAAGGAACTAGGACAAGCTAAATAAAACTTCACCACAAACATAAAAATTTTTAATGAATTTTTAATAACCATAAAAATGACATTTAATTGTCTTTTCTATTCTTATATAAATTTAGTAATTAATAATCTAAGTAAAGAACTATTTCAAACCTGGTTTAATATTATACTGGGGGGAGAACAAGTAATTTGGGGTTTTGAACATTTCCAAAAAATTCCATAAAGACCCTTTTAATTTTAAAGCTATATATCACTGGAAAATTTTAGATTAGGAATCAAACATCATGCAGAAGTAAGAGAATGACTTACTTGCAAAAGGTTGGAATAGGTCTACTGAATAGGAATCTGGCTGGTAGTAGTAAAATCTATTTTCAGGGAAAGGAAAATGTAATCATAGGTAGAAAGCATATTTTATACCATTTAGAGTGTGATAGCTAAACAAATGCTTAACCTAAGATGAGAACAAAGGGCGCCTGGGTGGCTCAGAGGGTTAAGCCTCTGCCTTCCGCTCAGGTCATGATCTCATGGTCCTGGGATTGAGCCCCACACTGGGCTCTCTGCTCAGCACGGAGCCTGCTTCCTCTTCTCTCTCTGCCTGCCTCTCTGCCTACTTGTGATCTCTCTCTGTCTGTCAAATAAATAAAAATCTTTAATAAAAATAAATAAATAAAAATAGAATGAGAACATGAATAATAATGTTCTGCCTGTTACATTTTTCCAAATTTCTAAATAATTCTGTCTTGAATTTATGTAATGAGTTAATTCTTAAAACAATGAAAAATAAAAAATATTCTAGATATTTGAACTTCATGATCATTGCCGCAGGCTAGACAAACAGAATGT